ACATTTTGTTTAGTTTCAGTTAAGTCTCAATGAACGTGCCCATCAGCACCTCATCTGGCGAGCTGTGATAACAAATTTGACCTGACTCCTTGTTTCCTCCTATCACAAAATCCTTTCAGTTCTCATTTTTTTTTCACATTAAATTTGTATTTTTATTCTAGTTGAATAAAAGTTTTTTTCCTCATCGAATTTTAGTTTTTTCATATTTTTTAGTTAACATTACTCCACAGTCACCAAATAGAGAAGGGGAAACTTTGATCTACCCTATGTAAAAAGCCAGATACAGTTATTAGGTTTCATCCATTGATTGTGTTTTCTTTGTTAGGGCAAAGCATCCAATAGATGCTCAGAAATTTCTCTAAAAACAAACAACGTATGTCATTGTGAAACTAATTTGATTAGAAATATCTTAAATTAATATCTGAAAGGACACCAAAGATCTCCACAGAAATCAAAGGAAAAATGAATTAGCGGTTGTGACCCATATCTCAACAAAGTAGAAAGAAAGAAAGAAAAGAGAGAAGAGAAGACAAAAAAAGAAGAAAAAAAAGAGAGAATAGAGAGAAAAAAAAGAAAGAAAAAGAAAAAGAAAAAAAAGAAAGGAAAAAAAAGAAAAGAAAAGAAAAAAACCAACAAAAAAACCAACAAAAAAACCAAAAAAAACCAACAAAGTATGCTGTAGTTTCTTTCTGTTCTGTCTGATTTTGGTTTCTTTGTGCATTTTGGCATTTCATATTTACATTCACTTATGTCCCTTTCTTTCTAATGTGGGACCCAAATAAAAGGTTTAAATGAAGGGATAATCATTCATGAAGTGGAAAATCTGGGCAGGCCAAACACACAGGGTTAGTGTTAGTTTCTGCTAAAGGTGGCCTTGCTTCAGCGAATCCTCATCTTGCAAATAACCTATTTTCTGCTATATTAAGTTCAGCTTTAAGTTCATTGTTTCCATCTCACCCCACAGATGCTCAATTGTTCTGAGCTCTGGGTAATTTAGTGCCCTATCACGGTATTGATTATCGATCTGAGAGAGCCACAGGTGCGTATTAAATCAGAGTTCTCATTTAGCTGTCCACTAAATAAATATCAGTATCGATGTGGCCATCCACAGTCTGTCTGTAAAGGATCTAGTCCTGACTGGCCCCTTTAGGAAATTTTGAGATACTTGATTATAACTCCAAATGCCAAGTTTGGAAGAGCTGCTATATGATCTTATCACATTCATATCCTGCTTACTTTGGCTGAGGGCCACTTACTGGTGCTCATCAAACCTGGATGCCAAGATCCACCGGTGTGTTTGGAAGTGACACAGACAGGCGAGGGGGTATCGGATAACAAAATCACACTCTTCATTCCTGCCTGACCTCTTGCTCTGGATTATTAAGGCAACAGTGTGGTGACGGCTAATCAGGGACACGGCTCCATTCATAACAGATCAGAGAGCTGGCACACATGCTTTTATTTCTGAAGTGCCATTCATTATCGTTTCTGCTGCTGCAGTTCTCATAAAGGCTGATTTTAGTCCCTTTCAAGTTTGACTCTAAACACCATAAATCACAGTGCACCTTGCCACTCTTCTCACTTTTACATTTCTATAACACTTTGTAAAACAGCTGCTAAACTGCTCTCATCTCCTATAGGCCTTAACTTTTAAAGTTTACCACCGTCTTTTAATAATTTCCATTATGTAGCACTTAGAAAATACTCAAAGCGTCAGGGCTCTGTGTGCAGGCGGATGGAGAGGTGGATCCAAATGCAGGACTCAGACACTAAATTGAAACTCAAAAACCTCAGCTTTATTGCTGGTGACAAAACATGAACTGACACTGAATCACTAGAAACTGAAACACACAGGCAAGTCTGATGGTATGACACAACACTGAGCACAGGAAAAAACAGGGCTAATATACACAGGGTGGTAATCAGGGAATGGGCAACAGGAGGGAGACACAGCTGGGAGAAATTGGACTAACGAGACAGGGGAGCAGTAGAACTGAACACACTCAAATGAGACACAGACCTTCACAATAAAACAGGAAACAAGAAACCACTAAACAAAGACGCAGACAGAGAGGCAGACAGAATATAACACATGCAACTCAAACTATACATGAAACAACAAATTCTTAAACATGGATAAACAGAAACATGAAAATCATCATCATCATCATCATCATCATCATCATCATCATCATCATCATCACCACAAGCACTACAGGAGAATAAGAAAACAATCCATAATGCAAAAACACACCAAACTAACTGAAACACAGATTCATCATAAAACCCAACAAAGCATCAGAGAAACATAAAGAACAATCCATCATTCAAAAAAACCCCAAAACATAACAACTCAAAATACTGGGTCAAACTGACCCAGAACCGTGACGCAAAGGTCATATTTTCCTTATTGCTTGGAAATGAATCAGTCTCTATCAGTCTTTGGTAAAGTTGTGAACTGTTGATAGAGGCTTTGTGTTTTTGGAAGTGACACATAGTGGCAGGTCAGAGAGGACTTTTGTGCTGGACTGATGCTGGGGCCCGATAGCAGCTAGGGTGAAGTGACATCTCTCTCCTCTCTCATTCTATGTGTGTGTGTGTGTGTGTGTGTGTGTGTGATGGGAGTAGCTGCCCGCAGAGCTTATCTCTATAATTGGATTTGTGTTAGTGTATTCGGAAATCTCAGTGTGATGCTCTAATCTGATTGACCACAACCCTGGAGAGGTAGATGAGTCAAAGATGTCTGCTACATAGATATAGGTGTCCATCTGTGTTTGACCTGCTGTTTGTCACCTTGGTTCTATTTGGGTTGAACTTAACAGGCTTTGGCAGGGAAAATGACAGCTGTATGCGAGATTTGGTGCAGAGCTGTAAATCTTACACCTGCAGGAAAAGCACATATGTTGCACTTGCACAATCTGTTCCTCGCTGAGATGAACATCAGAGTGGAAGATGATTTTTTTTATTAAGTTTCTTTTCTATATATATTCCTGTTTGACTATAATTTTAACTCTATTTGCTTTTAATCCCAGTAGCCGAGCTGTTGTTTGCGTATCTTTGTGGAACACATGACCTTTTGGCTGTGTTTACTTATAATGCATATTGAGCTCAGAATGTATTTTATACCCCTCTAGGTGTGCAAATGATTTCGTACCCTAGCATATTTTATCTGACAAGTACGACTGATTATTTATGGGCTGTTTTATCGCATGCGCTGTTTGACGAAGTGAGAGCTGTATGCAGTCATCACGGACAACCTGGCTTGCTAAATACAATTGGTTATATTGGTCTTGCTTTAGTTTAAATGATATTTATTTTGCAACTGTAGTGGAGAACAAGACATTTTTTTAAAATAACAATAATAAAATGTGCACGCACGATTGACTGACTCACTTCATCGTATTTCCCCCCACCTGTCACAACTATGCATACTTTGCCTTTTTCATGTGCCCCGTAAGAGATTGAGTTAAATATTGTATCTGACACAAAATTTTTGATGTATTACTGCTTTTCACAGTAATTCAGTTTTACACGTACAAAGTTGTACACGTTTGTATTCTGCTTTTAGCAGCTTTCACGGTTTGCAGTCTTTTGCTCTCAGTGATGCACTGCATCTGATTGCATTACAGGAAGGTTCTTCTATTATTCAACAGTTTGCTTGATCTGGCTCCACACTGTCAGACCTTATATTATTTATTTATGCACTTTGAGACGATATGAGATTTAAAGCAGTCTCTCATGGTGCTTCCCAGGAACTTTGTTATAATCTAAAACTATATTGTGCAAACTTAACAATATGATATTTCCTTTTTGGGGGCAGAATTTGGTTTCTGTTCCACTCTGTCCTTCCTGAATCTGGATGTTTTGGCTTGTGCTGTTATTTGATTATCATGGGAATCCTGAAGTGTGGCAATTCATTTATTACAGCAAATGTTGACTGCCTGTTTTCCAGTGGGAAAGGGCAGAACAAGGATAGGGCTTTAGGAGATGTTTCTATTAGTTTATTGTAACAGCTAGAGAGAGGGAGAGAAACCCCTCCATCCGCACCTTCCTTTCGCACGGCTAGACGTGACAGTCACCATAGCAACCACTCGGCATGCATGCTCCCCATCGCTATCAACTGCTGAAATCTTTTCTTTTCTTCTGTGTTTTTGTGTTTTTCTCTTTCTTTTTTAGAAATTTGATTTTTAAGAATTAAAGTTTTATCCAAGAATCCTTCAGCTGAAGGTGAAACTTTATTTATAAGGTTTCCACATAAAAAAAAAGCTTCCCCCAGATTCTCAGGTAGATAAATTATGTTCCTTGTCCCCATTTCCTCACCCATCCTCCCCTCCTTCTTTATACCCTCCTTTCAGGTCTCCCATGGGTAACGGAGGGTTTTCTCACACATTCAGACTGAAATTGTTAAAAATGTGTTGGCAGACATACAGGAGGTGGATTTATGTAAACCTATGCTCCATTTCTGGCACATATAGAAAAGATGTGGAGCCTTTTTTTTTTAAATTTGCAAATGAGGTGAGCTGGGATACCAAGTGTTTTGAAAGAGTAATTTGTATTATAGATGGCTTGCAAAATGGGACTTCCCAAACATAAACTAATGAAAGTTTTTCCCAGTGTGTGTGGATTCAGTGCATAGCCATCCATTACCACTGTCTTGGACTTTGTGCCATCTCCACCATTCTTCTTTTTTTTTTTATGAAGACAGTGTTCATGCTTCCTTCTCAATTTACATCAAAGCTAAATAGCATCATTATGGATGAAAGGCAAGGTGTTACTGTCTATATACAGTACCATTACTCATTACTTTGAGGAGGCTATCCTCTGAAATTTGTGCTCTCCTGCTTGCCACATACCATTTCTGCTTAAGACAGGAACTACATCACCCCTCTAGCTTCTCGTCCTCATGTTTCTCTTTGTTGTCAGTTGTTTAATGTATTCTGTGTCCTTCTCCCTCTCTCCTAAAATAAAGGTGGTGAGAATCCCTTTAAGGCTTACAGTGCTGCTCCTCAAACATTTTGGCTGACTCCTGCTTGATAAACTCCTGGAAGTGAAAAGCTGAGACCCACAAGTGATCCAGGGATTCACGTCACTCCAACATGCCTTCTTCTGTCTAACTACTCCCTGGAGATAACTACAACAATGTGACCACTCGAATCGATCAGAACCATGTGACCTGCTATTATGGATACGAGGAAAGGCTTACACTGAATTAAAACTCATCCAGGTAATTCAGCACATTGTGACCTTTGCAATCTGACCATTTGTACTGTATAGCAGCTGCTGACTTATGTTTAAAAAAAATCTTTTCACTGTTGAGATTAGTGTTTCACATCTTTTGCTTGGTACAGGGCTTTTCATTTTCTTTGTATATTAATAGACCTTTTACTGCACTGCATCTTGGCCATTCCGTGACTTCCTCAATCTGGATATTCATGGCTCCAGCTTTTGTCTGCGTCAGCTAGTAAACAGTGCAAACAGGAAGTGGCACCATGGTGCATTGCTGTTAAAGCCTGGTCAGCTTAGTGCAAATTAAAAGGGTATGAATATAAAGAGTATAAAATGCTTTCGTTTGTATTTTCAGTATGAATTTGCCAGGTTTTTTTTTTCTGCCTGAAAATGGACTTTAGGGAGTAGACTAAGCACATAAGTGCAATCGTTTCACCTAAAGTTAAAAGCAATGAGTGAACGTCAGGAGGGGCTGGAGCCTGTTCCAGCTGTTATGTGGTGAGAGGCAGGGTATAGCCTCGACAGATGACCAGTGTATCACAGAGCTCACAGAGAGAGATGCAGAGAGCCAATCACACCTACAGCCAATTTAGAATCACCAATTAACCTAACAAGCATGTCTTTGGGGAAAAAAGAATCTCTTAGCAAGAAAAGCTCTGCATGCAACCAGGAGTCTGGAACGAATCAAAGTCACTTTTTTGTAATAATAATAAGAGAAACCTGATTAGCACCTTGTTCTGGTTAGATTTGATTGTCTTGCCCTTTAAAAAGTATTATGAACCTCATATTTTTTGCTTGCAGAATCATGTTGTGACATTAAAGTCGGCAGTGCTAACACTGAAGACTCACTGCTTAAGGCATGAGAGGAGAACTAATGAAGACAGGCATGGAAGTGAATCCAGACAAAAAGGAATGGGTCTTGTCCACCTTTGATACAGATGACAATTAAGTCCTGCGGCTCACAGTTGATATTGTATTGTGCACAAAGCTTGAAAGCTGAGGGGTGGTGAGATGCATAAAACAGGGTAAAGAAAACAGACCAAACAACAGAGCCTTTAACGAGGCAAAAAAACCACAGAGGATGAGTGGGAAAACTCTTTTACGAAGTCAAAAAGCTAAGCTTTTAGATTTCTATAAACTGAGTAAAATATATTTTTAGGGCTTTATTTGCTTTTACCACTTATGTGTTATGACCACAACGGGGCCTTCTGCATTACCTTTATATATGAGTCACCTGCTCAACCCAGTGAGCTAAACCATATGTAATAGAGACAGCACATGTTAATGGACACGAGTATAAAAATATAAGATATAAAGATGCTAAAAGTTTTAAAGTTTTTAGCAAACCTGGTGCACGTGAACCAATCGACAGGCCAGGGATTCGAATCAGACTGACTGGTAACCGGCTGGTTAACCACACATGTGTTTCATTACTTGCCCATCTAGTTCATGTGTGTACAACATGCACACAGCAGTGCAGACAAATAGTCATGCACTCATAACCACAAATTAAATTAATATAGAACTTATTTACTGTAAAACAAAGACACAATGCACACAAAGGTAAACCATGGGGGGAACCACCACGAAAGTGTAAAAACAAACCTTTTAGACACTTAAATCAAAGGTCACCGCTTTAAATCTTTGCTCAGTATGAGTGAAGCAGTTACAAGAAACTTTTGGTGATAAGTAAAAAAAAAAAGAAAAAGGATCAATATCCTGTTATCTGGTGAGGTAAAATATGTCAGGTAAAGTTAACTGTTTGTACCTCTTTGCAGTAGCAGAGCTCTTTATTTTCAGTTGTTTAAGTGAGAGGAGATCCTGTAACTTACTGCAGATTTTACAGCTGCAAAAGCGCCACAAAATCCATGCTTTTGACTTTTCTTTTATTTGGCACTCTGCTTTGTTTTTGTGCAGTTGAAATATCGTAGTGAGTAATGGTGATTCAAATAAGGAAAAGGAGAACAATACAGTCAAGGGCAGAAAGGAAGACAAGCCTGAGATGGGAGGAAGGAGAGAGAGAGAGAGAGAGAATCGAGAGACTATCTACATGCGTTTTTGTGGTACAATGCGTGGTTAAATCATCATTGTGCTTCCAGCTGCAAATGCATGTGCACGTATCTTATCCAGCGAGTTTGCAAAGAGTGTGTGTCTCTCTTGCTCCCGTTTCCTCTCTGGAGCAGAGCAGTACAGGAAGGCCGGCTGGTTGGCTGGCTGCACAGGAAAGGAAACAGTCTCTATCAAACAGCAGATGGAGGACAGCATGTGCTTACACTGCAGAAACACACACATAAGCACCGACATGCACACACATGTAGCCCTACATACACAACGAATTATGTGCGAAAACAGTAGCTTTTATTAGTAAATGGTAAATGGTAAATGGCCTGCATTTGTATAGCGCTTTTCTAGTCCATAGGACCCCAAAGCGCTTTACACTACATTCAGTCATCCACCCATTCACACACACATTCACACACTGGCGATAGCAAGCTACATCGTAGTGTGACCCAGATTGTACGTGTCAGGTGCTGGGAATCTGAACCTTCCAGAGTTGATTTGAAGGAGGAAAATTGCATTTTATAGGAACTTTTGAACTGCTTCCATAACGGCAAGGACGTTTTTTTTCTTCTTGGAAGGTTGTAATGCCCTTTCAACTTTTATCAAAGCATTTTCCCCCCCTAGCTACACATTGCTACAGTCTCTTATAGCTTTTCAGCTTTCAAATGTCTTTTCACGATTGAAAAACAGGCCATGGTCATAGAATAATTGTGCATAGACTTTTGTTTTCACCTGGTTCAGAGCATTGCTTTTGTTCAGAGTTGAAAAAAGGCAGATATGGAAATTATTCCCAAACAGTGTGTAAACTTCTATCAGTAATGCTCCACAGCTGTCCGACCCATTTCATGGGTGTAGGCATTAGCAAAGCCGAGATCTCACCTATTTGTTACGTTTGTGACCTGCTGATCAAAAGTGTTTGTCTGTTGCCAAGATTTAGTGATACCCAGTATGTCATGGCCACCTCTATGGTTTCTGATGCACTGTAATACCTCTGTCAAGAGTTATTAGCAACAGGATAGCTACCATACTGGCCTGGTCTCAACAAGCTTTTGTCAGCAATACGGAGACTGGATGTTGCACTTCCTTTTTCCAAACGGGAGCGAACTCTCCAAGAGGCTTTCGACTTAGGCTCGTGTGTGTGTGTATGTGTGTTTGCTCACTTGTGCAACAAGCCTGCTTAGGAGCAAGGACAATGAGGCTCACTATGGTGCCCAAGGCCTCAGTGAATGACTCATATTTCTATAGGATTCAGGCCAAACAAAAAGGTTACACAATCTTAATCAACAAAGTGGTGCTCATAATATGCTCAGCAGAGGCAGTGATCCCGTGAAAGAGGATTGTGAAAATTTGTTAGGTTCAAGTTTGGGTAACATAATTAGTACGCTTCCTCTTTCACTTTCTATTAAAAGGAAGAGTGTTGCTTTCTTCTTTTTAAGAAGAAGAAAGCAGTCAGTGCACATTCTGACTTTCTAAATTCAGGATTATGCCACAAAAGACTGGCGTGTTTTGTTTTTCTATATGTTTGTCACCAGGTGTGTGACAAAGAAGTTCAAGTGACTGTTATTCCTGAAGATGAATAACACCTCTCATTGAGGAGCAATTTTGCTATGGCAACTGGAACTGTGCAAGAGTAAAATTTAGCTCTTCCTGCAGACAGTCAAGAGACATGATAGAAACCGAAAGACAGTCATGGTGTCTCTTATTGAAAGGATTGTTCTAAAGAGAAGGATTTTAAGGTCTGCGTCTGCACCGAGCAGACACGTCTGCTCAATCTCTGCAGAGCAGCAGAGGCAGGCTCCTCATCCTCTCAGCGTGAGCCTTTCACTTATCCCTTCTGGTCCCTCCTCTCTTTTCCTCGCTCAGAATCAAGTGGCTTTTTGTTCTCCCGCAGCAGTGCTTATCACTTGTTTCTCCACTGCTGCCCTCACTCCCTCCTCCCCATCCTTCTTGTGGTAATGAAAGGATATTTTGGGGGATAGATCTTGTCTGCCCTGTGAAGATCCCAAAGGAGTGTGGTTATCTTTCTGTCTGTGTCTGAAAAAATGGGGTTCTGTGCAAGAACACCCCCTTCTCTGGAGGGCATTCTTCCTCTGAGAGCTAGGTCTGTTTTTAATCCAAGTCTTTGTGTCCGTGCGAATGTTAAATAACTCCCATACCAGAAGAAAAGCTTTGTGGACTCATCATTACAGGCACTAACACTGCACTTTATTTGAGTTCATCTGAATGAAGTGGGTTTGCTCTTTCCCACAGGATTTTTCAATTGCCTGTTATTTCTACGCTTGGATAACATGACATAGGGATGAGGCATACATTGTCAGAGGAGGGAATCTGTTTGGCCGAATTACTCTTTAAAACCTGATTCCCAGATGGCATCTGACTCAGCTGTTGTTTTTCCACATGTAACTACAGCTTCACCTGTCTAATCACTTTTATTGACCATAAAACCACCCAAAACAAATTTACAGTCAGTTAAGGAGGTTAACTTTCCATAATGTGACCGGTAGTCATCATTTTCTTTATAGCTTTTGCTGAGATGTTTGCTGAATAAAGGCAACTGCTGAGGCTTAGACTCAGAAAGGCTGAAGTTTCTCAATTGATTTCTTTCTATTAAATGCATCAGAACAGCTAGACCCATAAAAGAGAATCTAACTGAATTATTATTGCGTGGACATGCAGAAGCTTTGTATGACAGCAATAGCTTTCCACTGCTAAACAGTATCTCAGTATAAGACAATTTCTATTAAAAGCAAACATAATATAGCATGAGCTCTAAATATATCGTCATGTAGAGCCTCTGAATGGAGTCTGGAGCTGCTTTCTCCCCGCTTAATCACCTCTTGACTCTCATGATGGATGCAGATTGATAAATACCATAATTATCTTGGAAGTCATGTATTTTCAAGTAATGTAGGCCGAGCATACACTCAAATACAAAGA